AAAGCTGTGAAGCTTCGTCCCCACGAGATACGACGCATAGCTATTGGAGCACTTAACGACGCAGCAGTTCATGCTGTCAACCCAGCGCAACCGCGCCACTCGGACTTCAATGCGTACCAATGTACGCGGCGTGGTTTCGTTTCGCTGGGGCTCTCACTGCCTACCTTTTGGTAACGGCCGCGCGGCGGCACGCCGGTCGCGTCGCACGGAGTGTGTAGTATCAAACCTCGTGCACAGGCTGAAAATGCTACGTCAAACAACGCGCGATGATAAAAAAAGGTGCATCATTATTTTTTTTTTTTTTATTTAGGGAAATCCGGATTTCTTATGTTCGGAGCCAATTTTTTTCTGGGATTTTATGTGCGCTAGAAATTGCAGTCAAATATATCAAAATGCGCGTTTGTAGCGCTAGGCGCCACATGCCCGGATGAATATCTAAAATTGAATAATCATCACAACTTGTCTAATACTTCCCCGACCGTCAGTTCTTGATTCCTCTCATTCCGTTCGCTTCACGTCATCATTGCCACAGCAGGACAGGTTATTGCCACTTTAGATGCTACTGTGTCCTTTTACCCAGCATAGGCCGTTGTGGAGGCTCGTCAACGTCTGCTTCAGTGGCTCGGCATCTCGGTCAGACAAGAGAAGGTCGGCTATGGCGGTTCAATCTGGCGCACGCTGAAAGCGTCTATACATGTATAAAAAAAGAGAGCGCGGCTGCGTCCGCGCTCCGTCTGTCGATCTAAGGCGTTTCTGGATGGCTGTCGTCGAGTATGCGATTGAGTGTGATGCGGATTTAGAAATAATGTGTGTATATTTAAGTGACAATTATGCGATTAAAAGAAAACTAATTGAGAGTAAATCACCTGTCCTGTAGTGTCGGTATCTTTACTGTGTCCGTTTTGTTTGCGCTTTTAACCTTTAATTCACTTATTAGAGGGTGTTCTTGGGGAAATACAACCGTTTTATTGGATCGGGTAGATAAACTACGCGTCGCAGAACGCTCGAACGTCGTGAGATTGTGATGCTAGCCGTTAGGATAGAACGCGGAAGTTTGACAACACCACATTGTAATGTTATGTTGTAATGTTTTATTTGCTCAGGAGAGCCGCGGCACCGCAAAAAGGCAAGAGCCCGTACCAAGGAGGCCCGCGGTGCCGTGTCTAGTGACGGTGATTATGTGATGGTGTAATGTACAGATGAAAGTTATGGTGTGGTAGGCCTAGCAGCAATCTTCGCGGTGATGGTCTTCGCGGTGCTGCCATGGGCTGCTTACTTCTGACAGGCCGGTCTCAAGCGCCTGGAGAGGGCTCTTCGCGTGCCATACTTGCACATGGATCAAAAGGTAATTGCTAAAGACGAAATTTTTCTACGAGCCGACGTCCGCCTATGCCTATTATCGTCAATACAAGAAATGACACTATGGGCACCTGTAACCTCTATTATAGTAATAAAGAAACTTTTCAGTAAGAAATAAAACATTTTCTTTCTTGCTGACAAGCGTGTTCAATGATGTAAATTTCGCATGCGTTCAAAGTGTCATTTCTTTTACACGACTAGGCTTAGGTGGAAGCAGACCTCTGCTCGTTACTTCAGAAATGTAATGGATTACAATTACAACTTATCGAGCCTCAAATGTAATGGATTACCTTCACAAATTACTTTCGTAAAACTTTACTCGTTATGTTATAAATTACTTTCACGTTACTTTTTCCATACACTTATCCACAAAACAATAGAAACAATTTTGATTGTTTTTTCTGAAATGTTTTGCAGCACCATTTTTTTTAATTTTTCATGCGCCCTTAAAGGTAGTCCTCGTAAAAATAAAATATTGTATTTAAGAGAAAGAGTCTAGGTGGACTCCATTCACCTGTAAGCCGACAAGGCACCAAAAGCTGTAGCCCCAGCCGCCATCCCGCTAGCTTACGATATCCGGAAATGATCCCTGGAATTGTGCAGACAAAGATAGCGGCGCTCACGCTCAGTAGCAGCGTCTGCCTTGGCTACGAGATTCGAAGCTAAAGAAGCGATCTGCGAAATCTGCCTTTTGACTCGGGTGTTTCGCCTGTTATTCGCAGGGAAATAAAAAGTTAGTTCTAACGTTACAATGCAGGGGCCCTAAACTCGTCAAACACAAAGTTGGAGCCGAAAGTTCGCGGAGCGCGCCGACTGGACGCCTGTGAAAAAAGCGCGAAGTCATCCTCATGATAGTCCCATCGGTGCGGTCTGTGAAGTTCGGCCCCAACTTTGTGTTTGACGAGTTTAGAGCTCCAGAACGCAGGTTTCCCAACTTACCTTGATGTGTTTCCGTAGATTAGAGTTTGTTGTTCTTGTTGATGAGAATGCGTGTCGTTCAGCAAGCAAAGTATGCACTGACACTCTAGGTTTCCGTTCTCTTTAATGCCCTGAATTTTGAACATCTGATTAAGAGAATGCCATGGAAATGACGGACACTTCATGACCGAAAACTCGAGGAGTCAGAGAAAAAGTGGTGGTTACGGATTATCGATCGTTCATCGGTTCTCACTTTCGTATCAATATTCGTGGAGGCCAGGAGAGGGGAGGGCATAGAGAGCGAGAGAAGTGGTGGCCATCGGTCTCACAAAATAATATAGGATCATAACACGTTTTCGCGTTCTCTCTCTCTCTCTCTGTCAGCATTCCCTGAATGGGCTAACCCCCCCCCCCCCCCCCGCCCCCCCCATGTTGACAGTTGGCTGTAAAGTAAGCGGTGGACTCGACCGCCATGCCCGGACAAGTATATCGTCCGTGGCCTCGAAAACGATGCTTTTAGCCTCGCGCCGGGAGCTTTTTAGCCGTTCCTCAATAGCGTGCTAGAATACAGTAGCGCACATCAAACACAAAGAGAATTCGACGTCCTGCGTGTGGCCACATTGTCTGTTACGCGAGTTGTGAACCAACGAATCGAGTGGGTACGGTCCCGCCTTTGATGTCGCTACAGGTGGCGGGAGACATCGAAGAAGTTGGAAAGGGTAAAACGGTGTAAAAGAAAAAAAAAAAAAAACGAATAAACGCGAAGAGCTGTTTCCTGCCCGGGAGACGAAGAAAAACGCGATCGAAGGCGACGGAGCGCCTACTCGGCGTTGCCTTACTTGATCTTTGGCTTTCGTATATTTGTACATGCCTTGCCCGTTTTTTTAGTTGTTCTGGTGTCCGTCCGGTCATACAAAAAAATCGTGTTTTCTTTTCGAGTATTCTCCTTTTCCTGAAGTTTTCTATTCTGTTGAACTTGATCTCTTTGTGCTGCGTAATGTTCTGCTCGTATTGCTCCAGTTTCTATATTATGCTCATATTTTTAAAGAGTAACAAGTAACTAAAGTAAAGCGTTACCAATATTTTATAAAGGAATCCCACTACAAATTACTTCCGAAAAGAAGTAACGTGGGAATTACACAATTACTTAAAAAAGTAACGGATTACAAGTACTCCGTTACTTGTAGCGGACTACTTTTAAGTTTGGGTGGAAGTCGGATAGTAGAAAATTTCGTCTTTCTCAATTATTTTTTTTAATACCGCTAACATTATAATTTCGATCTTTATCCTTCTATCCCAGCTCCTCTCGTCACTTTATAACGAAGTTGTTTACGCTGGCCTAAAATATGGTTCTTTTTTCTCAAAAACGTCAGGTACATCGCCTTGCTTTATTGAAGGGGCAAACAGCAAAACAATATTTTATGACTCGTCGAATGCACCCACTTGGTACCTGGCTTGTTGGAGAACGCTTTGGGGCTTAAGTGTCCTTTTTTTTTTTCGGAATAACTTTCGTAAACACGAAGCACTCTTTAATATTACAGAGTAATATTACTGCTGACAACTACAACCTACGTATTCTGCGACTGGACGTCGCAAAATACGTAGGTTGTAGTTGTCGGCAGTTAAATTCGACACTTGTTTCATTGGTGAAACTTGAGTATATGCTACAACGTATCATCATAATAACCTAAATATCTCGCCGCTATTGTAACGATGCGACTCAAGCGCGTGCCCACGGATTTACGGAGGACTACGAAAATGCGCGCGAAGACGGCACGCCACCGGCACTTCTAATCTGTTCTAATACATTCATGGACGTCCTCTATCCCATGAGATTTGCTACAATACTATCCTGAATCTCCACTAAACAAGCCACTCAAGGGGCTGTGATTAGTTCTTTACTGTGAGCTCAGTGTGCAGCTTCTGCTAAAACCATTCGGGGTGAAACGTCGTCATTTCCGCGCAGTTTCTACCTCTCACTTTGTGCCGTCGGAATTGAGAAATTTGATTCCTTTGTGTGTGCGAATATAAGTGGCCGTGCCACAGCGGCTCGAGAGTGGGGTCTAAACCGAAACGGTAACCTCGGAGGCGGCTGTCGCCGTTCCCGAGCCCCTAGTTTTCGTCTTGCTGGAAATAGAAACAAAAATATTAGTTGCGAATTTATGCACAGTATCAGAAAAACAAATACGCTCTCTAACTCCTGGACGACGACTGTCTGTACACAAAAACCTAGAAAATTGAGTGGGTCATGTTTTAACGAGAAAGAAATGTGAGTGAATTGCATTTTTAAAATGTGTACGAAAGTTAATAATCTCTTCACAGCTATGACAGGTGGTTTCAACATATGTGCGAACATTATTCTGATATAGACAGAACATATTGACTTTTAGTTTGATTCTGTATTTGCAACACGTTGACGCTTATTGCAACAATCGATAAGTGTTCAAATCCTTGCAAGATTAATTTCAACCTTCTATTAAAAATAACCAACATACAATCGAAGTTATATTTTATTGTTTGATATGATTGAGACTGAGTTTGCATTTAAATAGCGCCAAATTTTATGAATATTTAAGTTTAAAAATCAATCAGAGTAATTCGGAAAGGTAAGAATACCTGTTTCACTGTTAGACTTTTGGGGCTACAAAATGCAAACTTTCTGTTAGTTTTTTTTTTTTTTTTCGTTTTTTTTTATGTTTCGTTAGTGTGCTTTCTTGCAAACATTATTCCAGGATTTCGTTGTCCAACAATTCGTTGCGTGGGGTGCTGTCGTAACATCCGTCTCCATGTTGCCTGTAATAAAGAAATGGCTTTATTTCAAACTGAATGCGCGTGTGGAGATAGGTATTTTGAGTTGCTTCAAAAATATATATGATGGCCACACTTCGGTAATAAAGAAAACCGCTCCTTACAAATTTATTTAAAATTTATTTTGTTCCGCTGAAATGTTTAAGTACAGCATTAGGTGAAAGCAACATTTTTTGCTGCTTGCTTTGGAACCCAGTTTTTTTAGTTCTTGTTATAGATAGGTAATATAAAACGAAAAAAGAAAGATCAGAATAATTTTTTTCTAATAAACGTAAAATGCAGGTTTTTTTCGTTCTTGTCTGATTTACTACTCATTTTGGGAATTTTATTGCTAGAAATAAGAAATAACAAGCGTCATACATTTGACGCTTTGGTGACATATTTAGAACCTTGTATCTTTGGAATAATAAAATATATTGCTTACTAAATAGTCTACACCTACACTCATATACATGCGATATCGACTGGCACCACTTTCGTTTAATTTGAGTTTTTTTCACGATACATTTAAAAAAAATATTTCTCATTTTCATTAAAAAATCAAATTTAGTCAGTTTTTGAGCAAGCCTTTCACTAAAACAAAGCATTTTTATTTCTTCTTATTTTTTCTTATTTTAATTATGTTAACTTGCTATTAACTTTATCAAGCTTTCACCTTTTTGTTATATTTTCGGTAGCTTTATTTTGTTTTTCGTATCGACATATTACCGTATTGTCGATTCGGGTGCACTGTTTAACCGCTTGATCAAACATTAAACCTAAATAATAGAAAAAGAGGTTTTCGCGCGAGTTGGCTTTAATGTAAGGCATTTTAGGCTTGAAATGCTACGGGCAGTGTAGTTGCAAGCGTTCGGCTTGGGAAGGGAAGGGGCGGGGGAGCTGCCTTTGACGGGAGGCGCGAAAAGGAGTGGGTGTTGCAAGCGTGGTGGCATCAGAAAAATGTCTGCCCCGACCCTTCCCCTGTTTTTTTTTTTTTTTTTTTTTGCACCTTGGATAAGCGTACTTTTGTTTTCCTTTAATCTCAATAAAGACACTTAAGTCAGTGTGCATCTTGTAATTTATCTCAGTTAAATGTATACAGTATTTTTAAGGCTTTACATAATTGTTTAAAAAACTCTTAGCCTTTCCATTTTGGTGAAGAAGGAAGACCAGTGAAGCTGTACTGTGGTGGGAAAGAGGTAATGTCCGCCCGCAAGTCGCCAAGCCAGATTGGAAAGGCTGGGAAGGTTGCGCCATCTATGAGCGACGTGCGGCAAGCGGACAACCGGCAAACACAACACAACAAACGCAACCAGAGTTTTGTGTCGACATTTTTTTTGGGGGGGACACGATCCTGGGGAAACTAGCCCTTAACAGCTCCGCTGTAAAAAGCCGAGAAAGGTACACTAATAAGTGTCTTACGGATGAGTTATACGCGAAGGGAGACATAATAGAAGAGGATAATCGTCACAATAACTGGGATAAATATACCAAAAATGTGTTAAATCACTGGTTTTAATTACTGAAGATAAAGATACGGTTCCATTTGAACCCTTTCCAAGCGTAATCAGAAATAGCTAAGCAAGTAAATTTGAGAAAGATCTGGGGAGTGTGAGACGAACGGTGGTACGCTGAAGTTGCCGCTCGTAAAACTGCGCAATGCTACTTGTAGGAATACTCTCATGCGTGGTATTTGCGTCTCTTATAATCCACATCTTCTCACCATTAGCATTGCACCCGTTGCAAGACTGATAACTTTAGTGCATCAGAGCGCTTCGAACGGGCCCCAAGTCTTTTGAAGATCTACTTATATCGTTGTTTTTTATGACGCTCAGCAAGTTTCTATTTGAAACCATAGTTTTATTTTCATTAATAAAAAAAAGTTAGTAGGCTCCTCTCAAAACTCCATCAAGGAACAGATTGATGGTTGCCATTTCTTGGGCATAAATCGCGTGGTTGGATCCGGGTCGTCGCCGAACGCCGACGCAGCCCTCGTGTCCAAGACATTCTCACAGTGTCTGATCACGCAATCGCGGACAAGCGATGGCGCGGACGTTTCACTGTGAAGCTGTTTATGGCTAGGGTTCCGTAGATTTTTCGTGTGTAGTGACTAAAAACCCTACGCTAGCACCGCCGGACGCGCCGCACGCGCACGCCTTCCCCGTATAAAAGATTCGAAGTAAATAACGAAAATAAAGCGTTGACGAATGCGCCCGCAAGATGTCATTTGTTTTAGGCTTTTGCTTTAGAACAGTTACTGCTGCGAACGCCGGCACGTGCCGCGCGTGGAACACCATTCCCTGCCTTCTTTTTCGTGTTTTGGTAATGAAACAATGGGTCTATTCCGTAGATTATTTATCAATAGGCACCATGTTCGGTCGAGTAGACTCTCAGGTAGATAATCAAAGTTTCGCAAAGATTTGCCGCTGTGCGACCCGCGTCGGCCATGTCAATTCTCGCACCGCCCTCACTTTGTCGTCGTTCCAAGCGCTTGCGTGCGTAGTTTCCTTCCAATTTTCCCGGGGTGGCGGTCCTATCGCGAGTGTCTGCTTTCCGCCAAATGGCGGCCCCGTCACCCGTGTCTAGTGCCCTCCAGCTTCTCGGGGCGGGTTCGTGTCGTGCGATAAACAGCTTGGCTGGTCATTCACCTTCACTGAGTGGAATGGCTCATAATTTTTAAAAAGCTTATTATCCAATCTTAGCCGTGGAAACTTCGGTAGGGAAAAAAACAAAACGGATTGGAAACATACAAGATAAGTGATACACGAATATTATATAAACTAAAGTGAAATAAAGCACACTATTCACACAACTAAAGTCTCCCGATTCAAACTAGAGTGAAAAAAAGCACGGGTAGCCAGTGGATGTAGTCGGAATAGCGGAGGGGTGGGGCAGAGATTACTTTTTTATGGTGGTATGTTCACAAAACCCTTTCCCCTTCCTAGTGCGTCCAAAGCCAGCTCCCGTTGCCCCTTCACCTGTTAAACGCCTGCAACGCCACTGCCCTCGGAATTGGAAGCCTAAAATGCCTTGCATAAAGTAAAGTCGACCAGCGAAACTACTGTTTCGTCGATTCGGGTCTATTGTCCATTGTCCACTTCTACAAAAATAATTAAAAAAAAAAAGAATTTTGATTAAGGCAATAGAAAGTTAACATAATTGGAAATAGTAAAAAAATACTAAATGCATGAAAGATGATAATTTAAAAGCAGGTTCAAAGAGTGCGGGTGTATAACGCTTATATAAAACTGAAGGTTAACAGTATTTTGTAAGCCACATTTGTGATTAATCCTGAGGTACAAGATTCCAAATATGTCCCTAATACATCAAAAATATGTTTGTCATTGTCAGTCTCGTACATGTTACTGAAAAAAGTAGTCGCTTCCAATTAAAATTACTGCTCGTTAAAAATATTCAATTAGAATACTTGATTACCCAATAAGAAATGTAATTTGCCGTTTATTTAAAATGTAACCGTTACTCTTACGATTACTTCGGATTTTCAAAGGGAAGAATTTTTCTGCTGCTTTGAAAGCGTGTCTTTCGTACCATATATCCTTTGATAAGATTTACCCAAGTACGAATTACTTATCTTTTTATTCCTCAGATTTTGGTAAACCATTCTCCTGTCGAGACATGGTTCGAGGCTAAATTACTCCATATGGTAATAGATTACAAGTAATTTCATTACTTGTAATGAGTTCCGTACAAGGCTGAGTGCCTTTGACATTTGACCCATGGGGGGTGGGGGTCGGCTGCCCGATTAGATTTTCTCGGACCCCTTTTACAAATCCATTTCGGGACCCAAGGGACAAGCCCACTTAAAAAATTACAACACATATTGGCCCCCCATTCCACAGTGTGGTTCCATTTTGTGCTGCTTGTAGTGGACGAAGAGAGAGGGACAGAGTGACGCGACATCACGGATGGTGTTGTCATGTGCGTGCCCATGTTTCGTAACTAAGCTCAAATATTATTTAAGTAATTATAAAATTAACAGTGGTCTCTTTATATTACTGTTCGAGTCTGAACATTGTTGCTTATAGTTAGTTTGAAACATTAGGATTACTTTATAACTTAAAGGGGCCCTGCAAGTAGTCTTTTACTTGTTTTTAATCTGCCTCGACCATGAACGCGCAGAACGTAGTAACTTAATAAAACGTTTCTTTTATTCAAATTTCGCTTTGTTCTAAAAGTTATAGGCACATTAAAATTCCAAACATGAGCAAAAAATAACCTCCTTCTTGGCGTCCTTGGTCGCTTGAGTGGCCGTGAACTGGAGGAGGGTAATAAGCCCAGCGAGATCGCGCACGGCTGCCGCACTCCGTGTCGACGGCTCGAGAGGGCGCCACTAAAACATGTTCTGAATAGGCTGTATGACGGGGGCAGGCTGGGTAACTCGCATTGCATTTGCTGCGCGATTAAATACTAATTCGGCATAACACTTTATTGGCTTCCAACGACAGCGAATACGGAGTAAAGATCAGTTCTGAACGGGAGCCACTCCGCGCTGCCATAACGCCAAACCGCAAGCCAAACCTGCTCCGAAGGCATTCCGAACGCTCGGAACCGGTCGGATCCTCGACCGCAGTGCCGCCGCGTACATCCGGGACCTTTCCGCGTCGGTGCCTGATCCCACTACCCCTTTCTAGTAAGGGCCGCCTTTTCCACCGCTTGGTGGCGGGTATGTCGACGGGTCATTTCTTGTTTCCGTACTTTATAAACTGCAATTTTTTATTTTCTGATCTTTAATACGGAACAAAACCTACTTTCATGCATAATTAAAACAATTCGTGCCACTTATCTTACTGCTGGTCAGAGCCGCTGAAAGCTTCTTTTTAGTCGAAAAATTCGACTAAAAAGAAGCTTTCAGCGGCTCTGACCAGCAGTAAGGCCAGGATTAAAGACGTCGCATATCGGGCACTTTCGGCACCGCAGGTCGCCCCCGTAGGTTGAGGGAGGTTTCCGCGTCGTCCGGTTAAATTATGACGCACTGGTATTTAGTTACTCTTTCCGTGCCCGCTGGCTTGCCGGAACCCCAAGAGATGTGGAAACCGAAAAAAAGGTAGACGCTTAAATATGATTGCAGGGCCCCTTTAATAGCTCTGTCTGCACCGATTTGTTTTTGTTCAACTAAGTGCGACACACTAGCATCATACAAACTCCAAAGATGTACTAGAGATTGTGGGCGATGTAAATTAATAAGCTCAGATGCACTTACCTTATACCCTTTATGAACCCATGCGCAGTGCACCTCGAGAGCTTTTCGTCGTTCTTCCCATTCGGCTTCCCCATAAGATAGCCGTCATCGTACTTGCACTCGATGGACCCATCACTTCCTCGAACATATTCCCTACCAGGAGGGCCTTGACCGTCTTCCACGGCGCCCATACTATAAGGAGAAAAATATAATTGTTTCTCATGAAGTTCTCGCACTCACGCAAACGAAGCAGCACATTATGACCGACGCCGACTTCTAAGCACAACAATCACAAAGTTCAGTATATATATTTTACTAAGTCTTTTTTTTCTTAATTGCAGTTACGAACGCGATGAAAGCGTAAAATTAAATTATAGGTGTATTCAGTTCACCGAAGAGAACTATGTGACGGGCAGGCAGAAATAATACGGAAGGAGTAGGTGGTGAGTGTCGGGGGCAGTGTTGCCAACTCAAAAATTGAAAACCCGCTGTCGGAACCCCGAAAACCGCTAACAAACCGCTAAATCCAAAACGCAGCACAAAACGACTTTTTAAACTTTTTTTTTTTTGGTTAATTCTTGGCAAAGGTATAATAACAGTGAACCCTCGAAAAAAAGCCCATGCGTCTGCTTTCCCGCACAACACTTGGAGAACCAATCACCTCAACTTACGGAGGCAGCTCAGCAAATGACGATGCCGAAACATATGTTTAGACCGAAAAATGCAGTCTGACTTGTGACATTAAGCAATGCAAGCGTGACGTTTTGCATTGCTTAGTGTCACAACTCAGACTACGTTTTTTGGTCTAAGCATACGTTACGGCATCGTCATTCGCTGAGCTGCCTCCGTAAGTTGCGGTGATTGGCTCTCCGAGTGTTGTGCGGGAAAGCAGACGCACGGGCTTTTTTTTTTTTTAGAGTGTAGATCATATCAAATGGCCATCTGGAAGGAAGCTTTTCTTTTGTTTTGACTAGCAATCTGTCATGCCACGCCACAGTTCACCCGGGTGATCCAAAGCCGAAATTCTAGAGTGAGCGCATACGAACATGGCAAGCGACCCTTCAGCAGTGAGTGACTAGTCAGACCCGTTCAACTTGTGGAGTCGTCTGCTAGCAGAGGAGAAAGGCGCAGCGGCCGAAACAAGCTTGTTCGTTGCAGCGTGAATGACCAAATCCACATTCTTCGCAGACAGTTCCGTTTTGAAATAGCGGCACCTGGCTCGTCTGCTATCACCAGGAACCTCCAGCAGCCAGTCTTTAAGTTTGGGGTCTTATAGACAGTCTTTTCTAAATTTTTGAGCGTACTTCACCGCGCCCATTTCACGAAAGAGTGACAAAAACGTCAAAGGAAAATTGCAACATTCATACTGTTCAAACGTGCGCGCACAAATCGGGGAGGCATGTTCAGATATTCAACGTCTTAATGTTTTGATGACGTCACGGGCGTTACGCTCACAAACCAGGACATTCCTGAGAGTCAGCGAAGACGACTGTGGCTTATTATTCTTATTATTATGGATATGAAAGGTGCATAGTCGACAGTAAATTGATATAAAACTTCTTTATCTCTAAACAACCGCCAAGATTACATAAAACCGGCTAAAAATCCCGCCGCCCGCAAAACAATAATTTATCCCGCTAAACAGAACCAAAAAACGCTACGTTTAGCGGGAAAACCGCTAAATTGGCAACACTGGCCGGGGGCGTAGTCTGTCCGCAGGTAATGCGTAACGTCTTTCCGGCCGACTGCAGCGGCAAAGTTGCCAGCCGGAAAGACGGTAACAGAAGGCAGCTTCACTTTCGAAATTATTTGAAATATACAGGGTCTCCGACAGAGTATTATCAACCTGCGTACGGCACTAGCGCACTCTACAGTGTGAACCCAATCAAGATCCTGAAAGCGTTCCAAAGCCTAGTGAAATTTTAATGCAAAGCGTGAGTCGAAGGAATCGTTGTTTGTTTGAAGGGACCGCATATACCAGTTTTTGAGCACATTGAGCTAAGAGTTTGTACAGAGGTGGCGAAATAATGTGCATTAAGGCCGCGGTCCCACTGAATGCGGCAGTTTAGGTACTTTTTGGCAGGTCATTACTCATCTTTTTCTGAATACTGTTCTCTGGGATTGATGTCGTTCGAAAGGCAATGCAATCCTTTATTTGATATTATGCATGTATTGGTTTATATTGTTCATCCGGGATGTACAGGGGGAACAGCTCACCCGCAGAACAATCATTCAAATCAACATACACACAAAAGAAAGAAACACTTACTCAGCGCTGACTGACAACTCTTTATATTTACACTTTCTCTTCTTCTATTTGTGCTATATGCGAGGGCCAGGGAGAATAACTGGTCTTTTTTCTTTCCTTCCGATATGATGCTAAATAGTCAACTAAATTGAAATTAATGTAAAGCTAGGTAGTCTCATTCTTTTTGTGACAAGGTTAAAGACAGAGTACTAACGCATGTGCCGTTATGTTTCGCAATGTTCTCTGCCTCGATAATTTCTCTTGTGAGCTTGTTATGGTGCTTGCCAAGCACGCCGCAGTTACTCAGCTGCACTGAGCACCCACAGTCTCGACAGTGAATGCCTAGATGACCGGAGCTTTTGTTGGTGAATGTGTTGTTATGCTCTCGAAGGCGATCGTTCAGACACCTTCCGGTTTGACCTATGTACAGCTTTCCACAAGAGAGGGGACAGGAGTAGACCACCTTTTCTGTACAAGGGACAAAGGTGTTCTTGTGCTTCTTTTTGCAGCCAACTGTTGTTATTGGTGGAGTATTTACCTTCTTGCATAAGCTGTGAAGTTTGTTAGGAGCTGAGAAGATGACTTCCAAGTTTACTCCTGCTCGCATTCCATTCCAGCGAGCTTTGACGGGCAAGTCTCAAGACTAACGCGCGCAGGATACCCAAACTCGTTATTAACATCAGTGGCCGAAAAGCTCATCAACGAAAACAGGCAAGACCTATGCACACAACAAAAGCAAAAAGACAAAACAAAGAAGCCCATCATTGTGCCATATATTCATAATTTTTCTCACGGACTGAAGAAAATAGTTAACCGAGTAAACTTGGAAGTCATCTTCTCAGCTCCTAACAAACTTCACAGCTTATGCAAGGAGGTAAATACTCCACCAATAACAACAGCTGGCTGCGAAAAGAAGCACAAGAACACCTTTGTCCCTTGTACAGAAAAGGTGGTCTACTCCTTTCCCCTCTCTTGTGGAAAGCTGTACATAGGTCAAACCGGAAGGTGTCTGAACGATCGCCTTCGACAGCATAACAACACATTCACCAACAAAAGCTCCGGTCATCTAGGCATTCACTGTCGAGACTGGGTGCTCAGTGCAGCTGAGTAACTGCGGCGTGCTTGACAAGCACCATAACAAGCTCACAAGAGAAATTATCGAGGCAGAGAACATTGCGAAACATAACGGCACATGCGTTAGTGCTCCGTCTTTAACTTTGTCACAAAAAGAATTAGACTACCTAGCTTTACATTAATTTCACTTTAGTTCACTATTTAGCATCATATCGAAAGAAAAGAAAAAAGACCAGTTATCCTCCCTGGTCCTCGCATATAACACAAATAGAAGAAGAGAAAGTGTAAATATAGAGTAGTAGTAGTATAAAACGTTTATTTGAACCGCTTTAAGGGGGAGGGGGAGAGGAATGAGTCAATGGCATCGCGGCCTGGACTCGCGGTATGGGGGAAGGGAATTATATATGTACTTCTATGCCAGCTTCGTGGATATAATCCAGAAGCGTGCGTATACAGTTTGATATTGCTGATCTGGAGGGCCTGGGGGAAAGACCCAGTCCTCCATGGATGTCACCCCGTCCTCTATGTGCTTCTTCCTTGTTGCCTCAAGGCCTTTGCAGCCCCATAACAGGCGAACTAGGTCGACCGCATGTTGGGGGTCCTTGCAGTAGCAGCATGTCGGTGGTGTGCGCGCCTTTTCCCACGCTGCTCTTCTGTTCGGCGTGTAGGCGGTATTGGTTCTAATCAGACATGTACAAGTTACTCAAAAAAAGTAATTAAGTTAAGTTACTGAGTATTGGCCTCAAAAGTAATTTGAGTAGAGTAGAAATTACTCAAATGGAAAGTAATTGAGTAAGTTACTAACTACCGTAAAAAAGTAGCGAATTACTTTTAAGTTACTTTTGAAGTTACTTTTATTTGTTTTTATGGTAAAAAGAAAGTACACAGGTTTTGATCCGTTAGCGAAATTGTGCTTGCCAAATATAAATCTGCTTGTTTTTCACAGAAATGCTTTAATAGCTGGTTCTGCTTCTGCGTGCCTAATTGTTTTGTACTTCCTTGTTTGTTTGGTCAATTATGTACTGCAAATGTGTCATTTCTACTTTGAGGTTTAGTACTGCCTGAGATTGATTTTTTTAGACAGTGCATGCTTGTGTAGAGTGTTGCGTAAAGTACATCTTAAAAGTACTTGAAGGAAAGTACAAAGTAAATGAGACGTTATGTGCCTCAAGTAAAGCAGTAAGTACACCGGGTGCAATGTACTTGAAGTAACATACTATAAATACAATATATTTGAAGGCAAAGTACAAGTTCTTTTAACACAATCTTTCATGATGAGCTTTCATTCCCTATGCATTGCTCCAGGGGTAATCGGAGGTGCATCGGTTTTTACGGAAATGGCAGCAAATATTGCATAAAGTCAAGTCACCACCGAGTACTTGTACTCTCGCTGACGAGCTATTCGACAACCAACTTATAAGGCACTTATTTGTATCGGTTTTATAGCTGCCTTTACTTAATTCAGAGAAATGAGCAGATGACATCTTGAAAGAGCGCGTTTTCACACGGCGATAAGCCTTTTTTTTTCAGATTCGGGGAATGTACACTGAAGTCGGGAGTTTTACTTTCCTTGGAAGGTACTACAAGTACATGCTCAGAAAATATACTTTAAGTAAAGTACAAGTTTTCTAAACAGTAGTACTTTAAGTACCATGTACTTAGAGTACTTGCCAACACTGCTTGTTTATTATTTTTTATATAAAAACGTTGGGGGAATTATTAAGTTTTCTCGAACGATCTTCGAATCTTCGAAGATCTGCATATTCTAAGTTTTGGGAGGAAAGGCAACGCAAAAAGGTCCTCTCTGCGTTGCCCTTTGACACGCGATTCTTCGAGTACAGCACAAACTACGGGAGCACCAGAGGAGCTTCAGAGCAGGTGCTGCATTTTGTTGCCTCCTTTGAGTGAGGATGCGGTCTGTGCACCTCCTGTAGTGGGCGAGCGTTTCTACACTGAGGAAAAGCGGAGACCAGCCCTTTGTTCAAATGGGTCTCAAAGAAACTCCAGTCTTCGGCGCTAATCCCGTAGTTGCTCGACCCCCCTTGCGTCGTGTCTGTTCGCTCCCCGCGCCTCGTAGCAGTGTTGTTGCAACGAAGGGGGGGGGGGGGGGGGGGGGGTCGGCTCAAGGAAATGTTCCGGAGGTTTTGGGAATCCCCACACCATTTTCTTCCCTCCCCCCCCTTCCTTTGCCAGATGCTTCTCCCTCTTTGCAAATATCAGCTGATCTTCCAACATTTAACCTCTTCTGTGCAGGAATGTTTGTTGATAGGCAAAAGAACCACTAAAATTCGAAAGTAATTTGTAATTTGAGTAGAAGTTACTCAGAAAAAGTAATTAAAGTAAACTACTAATTACCGAAATAAAAATGTAATTGGAACTTACTAAACTACTCACAAAAGTAGTTAAACTACAGTAACTTGAGTAGAGTAGTTGAACTACGTACAAGTCTGCACCATGGCAGTGCGCATCAACCAAATGGAATTCTGGCTGACTAAAGGTGCGCTTAATGCCTGCGTCGTTGCACAAGTCACGACGCAGCCATCTTTAAACGTCATGTCGCAACCAAAGTTCATCGTTCTGCAGCGAAATGGACTGATTGCTTCCGGTCTGTGGCCAACGGATAAGCAAACACGCACACCCAATCACCGAATAATTCAGTAATTTCACCGAATCATATAAAAAAGGGACTATAATACTTTCGCATTCCCAGACGTAAACAGTCTTAAGTGTCTCTGCCGGATTTTTAGGCAGAAACGTTTTCGTAAGCATAGGGAGGCTCTCGGCGTAGACTGTGGTGACCGGGTATTTAAATATGAGCGGAATTCCAGCTCGAAGGCCTCATAATTTATTTATAAAAACGCGACATCCACAGAAAGCAGACGCTTTAGCACTTTTCTACAGAGTGCCCTCTTTTTCAATAGTCTTTTTGAGCGTGGACGCCAGTACTGAATTTGCGCTGGGAAAAAAATATTTGGGGGTCTTTAAGAAGCAGTAGAATTTGCAAAAACCAGTATTACTAATGCGACAAAAAAAAAAATCGACAGCGGCGAGATATCCTTCATGATCGAGGAGAACGAAAATATGCTGAGTAGTTCTTCCGAGGAATATGTCCTCAGACATCGCTGGTCAGTCGGAGCATGCACTGTCGTGATGAAAGATCGCAACTGCGGCCTTTTTCTAGGCGTTTTTCATCTGGTACGGAAATAAACTCATTTAACGCATGAAATGATTTTTAACGGAACTCCTCTATCACCAACTTACAAAATTTAATCTATTCGTCCGTCTGTGCATTTTTCGCTAAAATTAGCGGCAGAAATTTACGTCATGTAACCAATCCACTGATTCAGTTTCGCCGCTAAATTTAGCAGGAAGATTAACGTCACGTGATCTATGCACCAATTCAATTCATTCCATAAATTGGGCGGAGAAATTGATGGTATATAACATATGCACCGAGTCAGTTTCGCGCTAAATTCATAAAATACAGGTCGTTCAGCGCTCCTCAAAGCGGCTGTGTAACGTATTCTAAACAAATTTAAACGATTGCTCCTGAAATGGTGCATTCCATGGCTTACATTACTTTGGAGTTAAATATTACTACCAATGGGTATCTATTGACGTCTCTGTAGGACGTATCCGTCGCCTTCGTACCCTTCGGAATACAGTGGGTGAGAATAATGCCTTCACTGTTTCAAACCAAGGACACCGTCATCTTCTCTGCACCGGCGGTAAGAAAAAATGTCTTTGGTGACGGGAAGTCGCAGTGTTTCCATTACTGCGACGGGCGTTTGGGTTCAGGGCTGTTACCAGCATCCTTACTTCGTATATTGTAACAATTGATGCAAGAAAACCATCAGTCATGCCGTCATCACACAATGAACACGCCTAATCGGTGTAGAAATCAAATAACTACATTCTGTTTTCTCAATATGACAGTCACCATTTTTAGTGTCTGAAACTTTTAACTGCAGCTAGTAGTGCAACGGTTTTTTGAGGACACTCATAGCGTCGCTCTGTCTCACACTCATTCCCCTTAAAATATCTGAAGTGCTTGTCATCCCGCAATTTCCACAATTTTCAGGGAAAACAATTACGAGAAATTACAACTTGAATGCCCTAGTACTAGATGGGAAGAGCAGACGTTCGTCTTATGCCATAAACAAGAACACTCTAGACACTCGCCTGTTATACATTCAAGGGCATCTAAAACATTCAGTTTATGTACAAAGCATGCTGACTTACAGATGTGACAGCTGGCGCGCAGCCCTTTTAACACCACGGAATTTACCGTCATCCGTCACGGCTGCGACAAAATGTTCTGTCAGACAAATACCTCCGATTCGTCCTACAATGCCTGAGAAATGTAAACAGAAACATAAGTTATTCAAGTGCTACATCTAGGTCAGAAAATAAATCGATGTGGTGATTTACATCAGTTGTAGAACGTAACATTTGTCTACACACCGGTCAGAATGTCGCGCCCTTTGCTGGTGACGTCATTGTTCTTGATAGTAATTTCGAGCTCACTCATGGATACATTTCTAATGTGTGACCTACAAAACATATAAAGACAAAAAGAAAACTAATACATTCTTGACTATGCCAAACGTTTTTTAACGGTTTGTCGGGCATTGTTTTATTACAACTTATTAATTACACGTCAATAGTATTACACAAATGAAAAAAAAGATACTCTCTGTACACACTAAAATGAGGCTATATAACCGCAAGTAAAAACGAAAATACCCTGAGACAATTTTTCCAACTTTAATATCAAGCGTACAGTATTAAAAAAAAAATGAATCCCCTAGCATGCGCCGAATTCAGATGAGTTCAAAATGGCGACAGGGGAGGGCGGTAGATTACTCCAGTCACTAACGACTCGTGGAAGAATATGATAACTTCAAAATGTTTCATTGGTTTTTATGAAAATAGAATTTATAAAAGAAAAAAGAGATAATTCAAATGTTTTACAAACAATATAGAGATGCAAAAAGACTTCATTGTTTACAACTTTTTATATATAAAACAAAGATTTAAGATTATCACACAAGACATCTACCAAACAGTGTTGCGGAGCTGCTACTCTGGAGTTGGAATGATTTCGGAATGATTCCGGACTTGCGCGACCCCGGATTGGAATGGGAATGGAATGGCGGCAGCGCTAAGGGGAATGAAAAGGGATTAGATTCCTTTCGCCTGGAACGGAGGGGCAATGGCATGGGCTCGATTCTCATGCGAGCTGTGTCGATTTTCTTCTACGGCCTACGGGCCGATGGCTCAATTCGCTATCGCGTGATAAGTGGCTCTTGATACAGCATCATTGCACTAGAGGTACTGAAGGATTGATTGCTTCACTGGCTTATGCTCCTTCGACAATGAAAATGGCGCGCTTCGGTGAAGCATGTAACCAAACTGTAGACACACAAGATGTCGTTCCCAATGCCGCAAGACGCGACAAAGCGATTGTTGTAGTCACGCGCAATTAGCATGGAGCTTTTAACCAGGGTGTCGAACCGAACCCGAACCGAGCACCGGAGCAAGTTTCCTTTCTACCTGAACCAGAACATAACAGTTAGCGAAATCAGACATTGGAGATTGAACCCGAGCAGGAACAGAACTGTAATCTCGTGTGGCGGTTACCAGTTCATTGGAAACGGTAAGGCGTGATCAAATGTGAGCCCCACTTTCTTGCACATGACTGCGCGAAGTCAAATAAATACTGGCAACGGTGGCGTCAGCGGCTCAGTTTTGACTAAACAAACGGTTGCGACGACTCATTTGTTTTTGTGGGTAGCTTGCGGTGCGTGCTATCGTCACGGTGTCACTGTACGTACCGTCTGACTGACTGATTGACTGACTGATCGCGTGTGATTGACTTAACGTGCGAGTATTGTACTTTGGTACTGTCTCCAATCGCCTGTATAACAACGTAATTTTTATAGAACGGTGTTTGGGTCAAGAATGCAAAATCACAAGTCAAAATTAAGCACAAATTTGTTTTGCTTTCCTCGCTCTCGCAGTCTTTTCCCCTACTAGGGTGAATAATAGTACGCATGGACATTTACCCCCTTTTCCCGTATCTCAACACTTCCCCCCCCCCCCCCCCCCCCCTCTCGCAGCACGGCTTCTGACGACCTAACTTTTTTTAATGAAGGTGACGTCGTGTTAATCTCACCTCTTTTTTCTTAACGACTGGGAGCTGTGGACTTTCCTTTCAAGAATCACTTTGTACTGCTTCGCGCTTGTCTGAATCCGTAACCGAACCGTTGTTTCAAAAGCGTCCGTAAACCTGAACCGAACCGGAACCAAATGCAAACCAACTTGAACCCGAATAATGACCGGTTCGTCTCCCTGCTATTAACCCAGCCGATCTTCTAGTGTTTTTGTGGAACACAAATTAAAAAAAAGTAATATGTAGCAAACCTAAAATTTTACGTTTTAACGCAGGTTCCATATTTGGTGGCACAGACATTTGTGCTGGCGCCGTATAATGATTGTACTTTGCCAGTGGTTTTTTTTTCTTTCTTGCCGTAGTCCGTGGAGAAATGGGGCAGGTGTACGGCGGCGTGACTTCTAACAGCGCACTAGCGGTGCTGTTTTGCACGTGTGTTCGAAACAGAGGTCAAGTTAGTTTCTTCTTGCTCCACGCACGAACTAGACATTTTTAAGGCCTTAGTAAACAAACAACACGCTAACCATGTACCTGTGGAGGGTATACATGGTCTTTTTGCGAGGAAAATGAATGGTTTTATATTGTGGCGTCTGTTTGTACTCTCAAGCCTTTTACGCTCAATCGCGCGATCAATGTCTGCAGTTTCAAGAGGTTGCCACGAAGCGGGTTGTTCGACTTCCCATTGGCTTAACAGATTTAGTACTTTGAGGATGCTAGTGCATAATTTTGCAGTCGTCTCCTCGTTTGATAATGTTAACAGCTTTATGCTGTTGTTTTTTTCTTCTGTAAGGCAATGTGACTCTTACTGGACACTTTTTCACCTTTAGGAATTGGAGGAATGGAATAGTGAAGTTCAGCCAATCCAGGAGTGGGAATGGGCACAGTGTCTTCATTCCGAGGAGTTGAAAGTAATGCAATTTTTGGAAACTCTAATTCTCTGGAATGGAATGGAATAGAATGGGAGGGGGGTGTCCATTCCGCAACACAGCTTCCAAACAGAGGATAATATTTTCATGCATATAAGAAGCATGTATTTTGGACGGTAAATATAAAAGAAACTAAGTTAGTTAAGTTTACTATTACCAATCTTTGTTAAACAGTTCAAACTGAATTAACTAATCAACGCAGGGCTTGTATAGTGGGCAACTGGCACTGCCTCACAGGTTTTTTTTCTCTATCTTTGAATCGAAGTCTTCTTAGCTTGGTTACAAAATTGTTGACATGGTGGCACAAATATGCTTTGAGCTCATTTCTTTGATTTCTGAAAACTATATACTTAATCCGAATGTATCAACTGTCCCATGTAGCGAAGCCACCTTTGTCTGGAACCGTCCGTTGCAGAAAAACGGCACCTAAATTCCCATTTTCAATAAAACACAAAGAAAAGCACAGTAACGCCGATGCCTCGCCCCGGTAGCGGGCTGGTGCTCTCAAGGTCAAAGCGGACGCTCTCCAAAAATAAAACACAAAATCAGAGCAACAAATGCTTCGTCACGGAAGCCGTCGTGAAGCAGACAGGGTTCGGAGCGCCTGCGCAGTGGGGGGCGTGATGTCACCGCTGGAGCGCGTGTGCTACAGGAAGACGTAGCGAGCTGCTTGTATGAATACGCTGCCGTGTAGGAATGCTTTCGCATTCCTACAAGTAAGCAGTCTTAAGTGCCCCTGCCGAAGTTTTTTTTTGCCTGTTAGGTACATCTACGTCTGAGATTTGCACTGATGTGTCCTCGTGAATAATTCTTAGAGGGGCCGCAAGTATACATATAAATAAAACAAAACGAATAAATATATGCTAAAATGAACAAAATTAGTTGTACACAGCTAAAATTGCACACTTTTGTTTAAAATTGGCAGTTATCCCTTTAATATTAAAATAAAGTCACGAGCTAACCTATTTTGATTCGCATATTTTTTTTTAGAGCGCAGCTCTTAGGCACCGGTTTCCGGCTCGAGCGGCGCCGCCGGCACCGTCGCCGTCGGCGTAACCGCGGGTTGCATTATGGGAAACGTCTCATAATGCGACGCGCGGGTCTCACTCGTGACCCGCCCTTGCATTTTGTGACGTTTCCGATAATGACGTCACACGTGACGTCACGTGTGACTTCACGGGGGTCACGAGTGAGACCTACGCGTTGCATCATTGGACGTTTCCCATATTGCAACGCGCGGGTCTCCCTCGTGACCCGTGCGTTGCATCATGAGACGTTTGGGATAATGACGTCACACTTGACGTCACGAGGCACACAGGTTCCTGCGCTTTGTATCATGGGTCGTTTCTCATAACGACGTCACACGTGACGTCACGAGGTTCACGAGTGACGTCACGAGGGTCATAAGTGACGTCACGACGGTCACAGGGTTACGAGTGACGTCACGACGGTCACTGGGGTTACGAGTGACGTCAACAGTTTCGTCACCAGTGACGTCACCAAAGACACTCGTGAACGTCATCACTAAGGTCACGACCTTTTCCAAGCCTTAACGAGTGACGTGACGAGGGTTAACTGATGGAGGGGGAGGAGGAGGAAGGAGAATAAGAATAGGAGGAAGGAGGAGGAGGAGAGGAGGAAGAGGAGAAGGGCAGGAGGAGAAGAGGAGGAGAGGGTTCTGAGCAGGAGGGGCGCACTCTCCTCTCCATACTCTCCCCTCCTCCTCCTCAAGATCTGCGCTCTATTTCGGCATTATAGAGAGTTGGAAACGTCCTTTTTTACTTTTTCAATAATTCGTTCCACAGAAGAGAATATATTTTTCTGAGAGGCAGATCAATGAATATTTTGTACATGTTATATTAATTAATAAAACAAGCTATGAAACCGTTTAGGCTTATACTATAGGTATATTGATGTCGGCAGCCATCCGAACAAAATAGAAGCTTTTCATATGAACGAATACACGATTTTGTCGGTACTATACAATCGGAGCTCTTATATCACCTATTTCTAAGGAACACATAGCAAATATTTGTAAGGAATGCATTCTAAAACATCCATTGTGTCCACCCTCCCACAATACATTCGTGAGAGCCAATTACTGAAATCTATAAATAGTGCTTGTAAAATATCAGAGCTGAAAATATGTTTAGTCGTAATAAATGTAGTCTGCTCTACACTCTAAGAAAAAATGGGAGGAGAAAGGCAGCAAAAGCGACTGTTCCTCCTTGTTGCGGACAAGTTGCCCAGAGAAGGGAGGAACGGAAGTTCAGATGAAAGGAGGAGGGCGAGTTCCTCCTTGTTCAGTTGGCGCAGGGGTAGAACATCGCGCTACTGACCAAGTGGTCAACGGTTCGATTCCCAGAAAAGTCGTTTTTTTTTTTAATTTTTTTTTTTTTTAATTTTTGTTTACCAAAACACACATAAACAAACCCAGACCGATGAAAGGAAAATTAAAGTCCTTATTATTCTCCGAGACGTTTTCCTCCTCCAGGCAGACCGGAGAAAGCTTTCGCCCTCCCGACCCATTTTCTTTCGGTTTCGTTTTTCGAGCACATCGCGCACGTTGTTTAATAAATTAATGTCGCAGGGTGTTGCACGGAGAACTGGACTCAAACGAACTCGCCAAGCGCACCGAGTGCAGAAGACTGATGCTGCCGCCATCTATGTTGTCGAACAGGCACCGACCTCAAACTGAAACTAGCGCCTTTTGTTTTCGGAATTATGGGTGGGAGTGCGAGAGTGCAGTCGCTACCAACATTTATCTAAAATTGTTGGTCGCTGCAACCTGTAGTTTATTTTTGCGATGACTTCAAGGAACTCGGCTATCGTAGATATATTTACAGACGGCGTAAATTTTTGCAACCAGCTGTCTACAAAGCAGCTGGTTGCGACCTTTCAATTCGTGTAACCGTTTACACTGAAGAAAACTGATGATGCTGTCCGAGCAGAAGCTTGATCCGTTTGAGCATAGTATTTTACGTTAACCACTGAAAGGGTACGGCTTAAAACTAGACTGTTGGAACATCCAGCAAAACTTTTCGTGTGACTTTAGATTTCAATCGTCATTACAGGTGGATCATATATTAGCCTTGGTGAGGGCGTAAAGAACGAGAGCTTTCTCCAACAAAATACGACGGGCAAGTTAGCTGACGTAGGTAAATATTAAACATGATGATGTTGCGCAAGCCTCGGGTAAAGTCACTATATTTAGCTTTCTCTGATGCTTACTGGTCAGTCAGAGGTTTCTGCTGGTTAAGTTTTGTTGTCAAATGTTCGGTGTTTCCCCCGCACACAGATGGTGGTAAACATGTCGGGGGCCGCTGATCCGCTTGTTCTGAACATTTCTTTACACAGTGGTATATTTCAGCGTTTGAACGGCAGCAAAGCGACTTAAAACCTCCAAATAAAACAGGGTTTGTCGATTTCTTTCTTCGTGAAATAGCAGATGCTCACAATTCAAGCTCGCGGTTGATTCTGTTGCCCTCGGGTCGAGATTTCTATAAAAAAAAAAATATCTACTCTTTTTCGTTTAGGTTCCGCGACACATCGTAGCAGACGAAACCTCGTCGTCTGCTCCCGCTCCTCACCGGCCTCGCCGGAGCGAGGCATGATGGGATTGCATTTTGGCGCACTCCCGATTTTCGCGGTGCAGCGAGTGCATGCACGCGTCGAGTGCCGCCGCTGAAACGAACTCGGAGAGTGCAATCACTCGTGGAATGATAGCCGAAACGAACTCGCTTTACGCTGCGAGTGGGCACGCGTGGACACGAGTGCCGTGAAACGAACTCGCTATAAGGTGCACCACTGATCAAATTTTTGTTGACTCAGGAAAGACAGGTTTAATTTGCCACACATTCCTATGGAGTATATTGAAGAGCTCATTTCACTCCCAAAATGTTTTGAGAATGATAGCAAGAAAGGATCTGGGTCGAATTTTGGCTTTCACAGATAAGAGCATCTGGTACAGCGCATAACTAGAACGTGGAAGCGTTTATTTGACTGTGTCGTAGTATTAATGCATCTCCTTCTTTTGCTGCTAGTTAGAAAACAAATCACAACTCACGTGGTGAGAAACAACACAGCATCAATATGTCTGTGCTTTTTCTTCTCCAGACGCTTCGCAAGCCTCTCGCCGGACACCTCAAGTACAGCAATCAAAAGTTCGGCATCTAGGGCTTTTCTGTCTTCAGTAAGAGCTCTGTGATCTTCCTGCAAATGCAAAATATTAATAACAACTTCTGCATTAAAGAAGAATTAAATAAATGTAACTTACATTCCATTGACTGGCTCCCAGAAGACTGAACTGCACAGTTAGTGTTGGTTTCGCAGTGTTCAGTATTTTGTTTATCTGGAAACAAACAAGCCAGCAAAAGGTGTGTACATCACTTTAACATTTTGTTGGAGTCAAAAGAATACATGAATGAATAATTGAAGATTTAATAACCTTAGTCATTCACTAATATATTATATTTATTTCAGGAACAAACTATCAGCCACGGCGGACATCCGGGATTGCACAAAACGTACTAGATTGGCAACAAATTATAAAAAAAAAAGTTACAAATTAACTTTCAGTTAGTGGAAATGTACAATAGGTTCCAATAGAGACGTGTTAAGCGTTGTTGGAAATGGCTAAATAAGTCCATTTTAGGAATGGTTAAACCACGTGTGAAGCCTGGGAGAGCGCTAAATATTCCACTGATGCTGCAGGCACGAGGCTGGGGACGCGAGAACGAGGATGATAAAAATATCACCCAGATTTTCGCATCCCCGCACCAATGAAAACTGTAGCGCATCCCCCCCCCCCTCTGTTACGTAGTTAAGTCTCCCTAAATTGACTGGTTTAGGCGTTTTTGATGGCGCTCAGAAAGTTTTTAACTGAAGTTATATTTTGATCTTGAATAATTACACGCTAATGAATGAATTCCGCGGAAATATGAAACGAATTTCCAGGTTTTGTTGCAGCCCTGACGTCCACCGTGGCAGGCAGTTTGTTACGGAAAATATTTTTCTCAACCACTCAATTGGTAGAAAGTTGTTTTTTAATATTCGCTGAAACACCCGGTATAATATCGTGCTCAAGAACAGTGCAATACTGCGAGGGTGTGAACGGTACAAGCTAAAACTACGACATAAGTATTGTAACCAACCTACACGAGGCATAAACTGTTTTCATCGTAGTCCTTAGTCAATGAAAGGGCACGCCAAATAGGATGCTGCTGTGTCCATGATAATTTTGTAATAAAATAATAAAAGAGAAATATAAAACAGGTCTAAATGTTAGCCGCCCGTGTTAGTGGCGTCGAGGGTGGTGGTGGAAATGCTTAGGTGGCAGTTGAAAGACAAGTGGAAAAAAATAATATGCACTGCTTCCTCTGCATGACACAATAGACATTGAATACAAACTCTGAATAGACAAGGAAAGGGCAACCCATGGAAAAATGTTTCTGTTACATTTTACATGTCGTGCGGAGATAAACAAAAACAAACATGACAGACTTTCCGGGGGGAGTATGTTGTTTCCGTTTGGCTATGGTATTTGCTTGTTCCTGACGACCCGCGCTGAATAGAGCGACCTTCAAAAGTCTCGCCTCCAAGCACTAACTGCACTACCTCCTGAAATTGACTTATATAGAACCGACATGCCATCCCGATCTCTTGGGTAAAAAGAAAGAAGCCTTGTTCCTCAAGAAAATGACAAACCTGTCGAAGGTTTCGTGGGCGCGTCTTCATGACTACATATTCGAGCCACCTGGTCCACATGCCTGAGTACGACTTAAAATCTACCAGTTCCTAAACGCGTTCAACTAGTTCTTGAACGGAAAGGCATTGGCATGGACACCTATGTCCGCCAGGTGCCGAAGATACGTGCCGAGCTTCCCCGCAGGAGTCGCCGACCTTTGTCTTGGTTTTAGCAGACATTCTTCCTAAAATGATTATTGCCCTGCCTCCAGCGTGACGCGAGTCTCTGTAATGCCAAATTATCTCGTGTTTTGTCCAGCTTGCTTTGATGCTCAAGGTTCCTTTCCCAGAGCACCGTGTCAGCTTCTATTTATACTTGCCGTAATGGCCCGGTAGGCGCCTATCATCGTACGGAGATGGTTGGTCGAGGCGCCGCCGCGCCCCTGGTGCTGCACGCTCAAGTTTATCTCGTTGAGCCATCTGTCGGTAGTACATCGAAGTAGACGAGCACAGTCTGGTTAGCTGCGATCACCGAAGCTCGGAGGCGTCCCTCGTCTCGAGATAATTGAAACAACTTCCCTTGTGTGACTGTTTCTGCCGGTGTGCATCGGCGACTTAAAATAAGGAGACTAGGGCATTTCTAGAGCTTAACTATCGCGCAGTTGCTCTTAGTGAACCAAGAGTCCTCGCGCACCAACTCCAACAATGGGTAAACATTGGTCAGCGAGAAGTATCTCTCTCCTCCTTTAACACACTGACGAAAGAGAAATGAAACGAAGCATTCGTGGTTGTATTCTGTTCAACTAATTGCATCTAAAAACCAAAGTTATTTATCTTTTTATTTATTTACTTATAAATGCCACCAATCTTACGAGGAGCTTCTAGGAGGCAGACAACTCCTTATTCCAGCATATGCGGTTGGTTATACATAGCTCTAGACACCCGTACTCTAACACCTCTGAAAGGCTGTGATTTTTAAGAATATATTTCAAATAAAGCAGCTTCATTTTGTGACTTATAGACATATAAACACGTTTGTTTTAGTAATGCACATATGCCACATTACCACAATGGCTACAATAATTAACAAAAAGTCCGATCTTCATTACACTGGCGCCAATAGGCCCATTTCAAGAATCCGAAAAGCCCGCGCGCGCCGCGCGACGAATAATGGGAGTCCTTGGTACGCCCCTCCCAACGTCTGCTCCCTCTACCACGCGGCATACGCGAGCAGACGCAGGTTACCACGGCAACAACGTTTGAGCAGCCGAGTCGGACGAGCGACGAGCCCACGGCTGCCCTTTTTCAATTCCTCTCTTTTGTACCGGCTCTGTCATCTGCTGCACCAACGCTTTGTCGAACCTGGTCGAAACCTGCCACGGTTGCGGTGCACACTAAATGGATTCGGTGACACTTCAATACGTGAAAGCAAGTTACGACGAATAGCGTATGAAATCAGTTCACCTGTCGCGATGCCTTTACGCTGCCAAGGATACGGTACGTCGCCAACGACGTGCGACTTGGCGGATGGTCAGGATGGCGGATGGCTGCAACGGCTGCTGGTGGTAGCTGCCGGGACGCGCGCGCAGTCGCGGAGGCGCAACAAGAAAGCGCGTGATCTGTACCAAGGGTTCCCGTGATTTCCTGCCGTCGCTGCGCTGTACGGTTTGCAACAGGTCTATTGCTAAAATCCTTCGCAAAATTTATAGAATATGCAGTCATCGGCATGCAGCCTTGTTTTCCCAGAAACTTAGTGCTTACATTTTTTTTAATAAAGAACAATAATTAAAACGGTTTCAGAGCCAATAATTGCGGTACCCGAGGATAAAAAGTATTTATCAGTTCAAGTACCTCCAAAATCCACATTATCCGCTAGAAAGTTATGCAACAATGCATTTCACGCGTGGCGAACATAATTTGTTCTTTGTTTTGTCTTTAGTTTTCAATGATTATTTTTCGCGTTTTTTATTTCGTGAGCAATTTCATTTTTGCAATACTCGACCTTACAAAATAATATTGTTTTAATTTCGACTTTGAGAGAAAATAATAAGTATTCATCAATATAATCAATGGCACTTTCAATCGCCTAGTAAGTACGGAAAGCTAAAGTTTCTCAAATAAAAAGACCTCGCCAAAAAGTGCGTTTTGGGATATATTTTTGTTATTAATTCATGAACTAAATCTACATTTAAAACTTTTATGGCCTGTTTCCAGCAATATTTCGGTTCAACTTCTGTTTTTATGTGAAGTAACGAGGTTCATCGTTGAATAAAGTCTATTGATGGGTGATCTATTTGCAACTTTAGTTTTTCCCGACTCTTCGCTAGCTATGAAATTCTCAATGCTTAATTCATCACTGAGATAGGTATTTGGCACACGTAGCTAGTCTGGTGAGCGAGCATTACTCACAAGAAAGATGTACAGCAGAGTTCAAGGCCAGCGTGCAATAATGAATAAGCTAAGAAGCGAAGCTTCGAAAAAAAGTACGGTAATATTTTACGTATGAACCGTAACAATAATTACATTTTTTGCTTAACCTTGCAGGAAAAGTCGACTGAAATCTGATGCCAGAAAAAAGCTGAGTGTAGCAAGGTGTTGGATGCCTGCAGCCAAAAATATAAAAATTCCCCAGATCTAATTAACTTGTATTACTGTTCTAGATGCGGCATTGTTCAGCTAGCCATCCCACAACGATATCTCGAAAGTTACTCTTAACCTTGTGCAAGGGCGCGTAAATTTACTTACCTTTTTTAAAAACTGTTTCAAATATTCCAACACCTCTTTTTTATCACCAAGACGTTTTTTTATGTGTCTACTGTAATATATGTAAAGTTCCAGATAGGCTGAACCTCCAGCAGAAAGTGTACCTGAAAACGAATGATAAGTTTGAAATTGATTAACGGCAGCAACCAGGGCTCGTGCGCGTTTACATTTAATCAACACGTGAACAACCGGTAAGCGCCAAATTTTGTTTAAACTTCATTACTAAGAATCCCTAATGTCCTCTTCAGATACACACGACTAAACAATATATATGCAAAAATAAACGCAAAAATCGCAACATACATTTCATTAAAATAAAAGTTTAAATTATCTCTGTATTATTGAATACACTCAAAAAGTTTCACGCCACTAGTTCAGGGAGGAGAGAGAGAGAAAAAAAAATACCTTCGGCGTGATTAAATATATTTCCACGCGCGTCGGCGAGGAAGCGCGTGCGTGGCCGAGTGGTTACCGCGCTTGACTGTCGCGCGGAAGGTGTAGGTTTGATTCCCATTCAGCGGTCCGTCCTTTTATTTATTCTTTCAACCTGGCCTTCTCGTAAGATCAAGTTCAGAATGTTCTACGTCCGAAAGTTCTACGTCGAATGGTCCAGAAACCCACGAAGGTCCATTGGGACTCCGCAAGGCGAGCGGAGTCAGTCTCGTCCCCGCGCTCGATCCTGCTCTTATGCCGCCATCGACGCCCGCGACGCTCTATTGTTATCTTCTGTTCCTTTTTTGGGGGGGCGCAAGTTCGCCCCATTAAACGTTTAGTTTACTTCGGTTTCTGTCGCCTCATCACTTGTCGTTCGTGACATTTTGGTGGAGGTGCTGGGTATAGCTTTCTATGCCCGTGGGGCGTACACCTCCGAAGGCGTACCGACCAAGTGAGATGATCAGCCCCGGAAGGCTACCCTTCGCGGAAGATGCCGACGCCCGAGCAAGCCGGCGTACCAGAGGCCAATCCCCGGAATTGGGACCCCTGCCGCAGAAACAGAAGAATAAGACCGCGAAGATGACCACTCCAACCGTCGTTGTCCTACCCGTCGCTGCCCGTACGCCTGTGTCCTTCCATGGCGAGCCTTGTCAAGACGTCGAGGACTGGCTACAGCAGTACGAGCGAGTGGTCCAGCACAACCAATGAACGGAAGAACAGCATCTAGAGAGTTTCTACTTCGCGCTCGAAAGAACGGCCGGGCACTGGTTTGAGAATCGCGAAACTTCTCTGGCCTCGTGCACCGCCTGCAAGGATGCTCTGAGACGGACTTTCACTAACCAATATCGAGGGGAGAGGGCCGAGGACCTTCTACAAACGAGGACCCACGTCGCAAGTGAAACGATCACCACTTTTGTCGAAGATGTTCTTAGCCTGGTCGCTTGCGCCGACCCTAAAGCCACCGACGAAAAGAAGCTTCGCATCCTGATGCGAGCCGTAAAAGATGACATCTTCGGTAGCCTTGTCCGCAACCCCCCAGCCACCGTCAAAAATCTCGTCAAGGAAGCCACAAACATCGAACGTGCCCTTTAAAAACGGGCCTCCCATTACCAGCGACTTCGTCGCTGCCCTCTCGACTTCCATCTGCAACGGCGCGGTCCTCCGCGAGATCATCCGGGACGCCGTGCGGGAGGAAATCAGGAAGCTTCTACCTGCTGCCGCTAGCTCGGAATTTCCCTCAATCGCCGAGATTGTCCTGGGGGAAGTTCACCAGACGCTGCGGTCACAAGTTCTCGTCAGCGCCGCTCCCAAACCACCGACGCTGACCTACCCCGCAGCTACCCGACGACCTCCGCCCCCTGCTCATCCGTATGCGGCGCCACCCTGACGTGAAACTTCAGCGACACTGTTTTCCCGACGCCAGGAAGATCGGGCGTACGTCCGCCCAGAACAAGCAGCGCCACAAAAGACCGACGTGTGGAGGACGGCCGATCGACGCCCGTTGTTCTATCACTGCGGTGAAGCAGGTCACATTCACAGTCGATGCCCCTACAGACAACTACCTCTGCGCGGGTTCCACCCGATCGACCCGCGCTCAAGGTACGACGGACGCCCTCGCGACATCGAGGAGTACCTCCGACGATCGCCATCCTCTGCGCCCCCAGTCCGCTGTGAATCCCGCTCACCGTCGCCCAGACGTTCAGCGTCTCCAGCTGCACGACCCCGCCGAGGGAACTTGTCCCCCCTGCGTCGCCGGGAAAACTAAGGGCGGCAACACCTGGAGGTGGCGTTCCCGAAGACGACCGAGGAAAAGAGCCTCCAAGAGCGATGGAGCGCTCCCCAATCTCCCGATGCTTCGCATCACAACGACGCCCCTGAATCGGTGTCCAACAACCTAAACATTATTATCGACGGTCACGACGCATCGGCACTCGTGGACACCAGAGCAGACTACTCAGTCTTGAGTGGGAGGCTCTCTCGCCGCCTGCGAAAGGTGACGACGTCGATCGTGGGAAGGCCCTCAATGATGCGATGATGTCATGAGGTGCCGGTGGGCACCTCATCACACCAGTTGGGAAATACACTGCTTGCGTCGAAATCCATGGTGAGACGTGCCCTGCCAAGTTCGTCACTCTGCAAGACTATGCGAGGGGCGTTATCCTCGGAATCGACTTTGTCTGCGAGTATGGCGCCGTCATCGACCTCGGAACAAACCGGCTGACGTTACTACACCTGCTCCATCACCGGAGGAACCCAAAGCAACGTCATCTGTGGTCTGAGTCCTCGCAAACCAGGTAAACTTACCACCGAGCTTGAGTGTTTTCGTACTCGTCGAGATCAAAGCATTTTCCTGTGGCGACGTTCTTGAGGGAAGCCTCCAATTTCTCCTGGGAAGAGGAATAGGCATCGCAAGAGGAGTAGCTGATCTTCAGGATGGGCGGACTGTGGTCCGCGTGGCGAACTTCCAAAATAAAACGCAACACCTCACGAAAGGTGCAGCCGTGGGCCACGTCAAGGAACTTGGAAACTCCGCCGAAATCGCCACGATTACTGACGTATCCTCGCCACATCAGCAAGACAGTACGTCGCCAGCGCAGCTCAACATTGACCTAAGCTTCCAGGCCTGAAACGACGGCAGCTGATTGACCTCCTCGCCGAATACCGCGGCTGCTTCGCGACGTCGCCGAAGGTGCGCCAAACCGCCGCTGCCAAGCACCGCATCGTTATCGAAGACGACGCGCGCCCTTTGCATCGATCAGAGAGGTAATCCAGGAGCAAGTTCAAGAGATGCTGGAAGACGACATAATCCAACCTTCAAGTAGACCATGGGCCTCTCCAGTCATGCTGGTTAAGAAGAAGGACGCGGAACGCTTAGGTTCTGCTGGACTACAGGCAGTTGAACGTGGTGACGAAGAAAGACGTGTACCCCCTCCTACGCATCCTCGACACTCTAGACTGGCTGCGCCACTTTCGATATTTTTCATCAATGGACCGGAAGAACGGCTACTGGCAGATCGAGGTCGGCGTACGAGACCGGGAGAAGACAGCCTTCGGCACGCCGGATGGACTGTACGAGCTCAAGGTGATGCCCTTCGGACTTTGCACGCCGTCAGCAACTTTCCAGCTTGTCATGGACACCGTACTGGCAGAGCTGAAGTGGCAGAGCTGTGTCGTCTACCATGACAACGTCGTAGTATTTTTAACTGACTTCGACGAGCACTTACGACGACTCCGAGCTGTTATCCAAGCCATACAGACCGCCGGGCTGACCCTCAAGGTGTCAAAGCGACGGTTCGCCTATGACAAACTGAAGTTCCTAGGCCTCGAGGTTAGTAACGAAGGCGTGTGCCCAGACCCCGAGAAAACTCGCGCCGACACGGAATTTCCAGCGCCGACAGACAAGAAGGCCGTACAAAGATTACATAGACTTTGTGCCTACTATCAACGCTTCGTTCGGAATTTTCCAAGGGTTTCCGCACCACTCAAAATCCTCACAAAGAACGTCGAGAAGTTCAAACGGGCCGAGGAGCAGCAGCAGGCTATCGACGAGCTCAAGCGAAGACTCCAGACTCCTCCTGTCCTTGGACATTTTGATCAGGATGCGGAAACCGAGATTTACCCGGACGCTAGTGATGCATGACTTGGAGCGGTACTGGTTCAAGTGCAAGAAGGTACCGAGCGGGTCATCGCCTACGCAATTCGGACGTTGTCCAAATCGGAGAGAAATTACTCCATGACTGAAAAAGAATGTCTTGTGGTCGTCTGGGCAATCCCGAAGTTCCGCCCGTACCTGTACGGGAGCCCTTTCCGCGTAGTCACAGACTCGCTCTGCTGGGTTGCGAACCTCAAGGACCCTTCAGAACGCCTCGCCCGATGAAGTCTCGGACTACAAGAGTTCAACGTGCATGTAGTCTACAAGTCTGGAAACAAGCACAGCGACGCCGACTGCCTGTCCAGGGCCCCTCTCGAAACTTCTCCCGGCAGCCGCGACGACAATGATGACGAGTGCTTCCTAGGAGCAGTGACGACCGACGACCTGGCACGACGTCAACGAGACGATCCTGAGCTGCGCGCATTAATTGAGCATCTGGAAGGGCGCGGGTTATCGTGCCCCGTGTTTTCTCACGAACGCTGCCGACCTTCGCCATTCGACAAGGTGTACTGTACAAAGAGAAATTCGGGGGCAACAACTCGCCGTGGCTGCTGGAAATCCCGACAAACCTTTGAGAGGACATCTTTCAAGCATGTCACGACGACCCGATCTCCGGAGACCTTAGGTACATCCGGACACTGGCCCGTATTCGTGAGAAGTATTACTGGCCCAAGCTGCCCAAATCCGTCCACCTCAACACCCGATCCTGCCACGAGTGCCAGCGGCGCAAGAAATCGCCGACAAGACGTCAGGTCTGCTGCAGCCTACTCCTCCGCCAACTGCACTGTTCCAGCAGATCGGAATGGATCTACTTGGTTCTTTTCCGCCGTCGACCTTGGTAAGCCGTGGATAATCGTCGCCACAATTTATCTTACGCAGTACGCAGAAACGAAAGCCCTTCCTTCAGGGATTGCTGTTGAAGTCGCCAAGTTTTCCATCGAATCCATCGTCCTCCGGCGCAGCGCTCCAGACATTCTGGTTACAGATCGCGGATCCTTGTTCATGGCCCAGCTGACC